ATTATAAGCATTCCTTTTATGGTCGGTATACTGAATACACCCCCAAAAAATGTTGGTTAAACTGCTTTGTTAAGGTGCTTAACTGAGATTGTCACAGGTCTCATATTATGTTTTATTCATTTGTACCTGTAATGCCTTCAATTACAGCAAAAAAGCAATTCAAATAAGACTTGCTCAAGTGCTACGTTCCACGTCCCTGCTCTTTAAACACATTTCTCCAGCTTGATGATTCCTCACTCGCTGTCGTTCTCTTTTTTGGCAGCCGCATGCTCTTTAATTGTATTGATTATTCCTCTCACATGGGACTTTATTCCCCAAGAAAATGACTTCAGCAAGATTATGCATAAAGAATAAAATGAGCAGGCTGTGGTTTCCCGAAACCTCCACTCGAGGGGAAGACAGATCTTCATTAAATCTGGAGGCATATTTAGACATCTAATTCATTTCTGAGAAAGTGTGACACAGATGGTTCTTGTGTCCGACACTTCTTTTCTCTAACGTCTCATTCGTCAAGTTTGAGGTTTCATGTTTGGCGCTTACTGTTTCGTGGCTTATGTCATCATGTCACATGTTTCATGTCTGATGTCTAATTCTCCTCACATCAAGCATCTGTAGTATTTTATTATATTTTTCCCTTGATTTCCTTTAGCCCTCCTTCCATCTTCCTGCATCTTGTCTTACACGTCTTGTGGCGGACAGCAGCGATTTGTTGGTCTGTGTGGACATTTGACACAGGACTTCGTGTTTATCTGAAACTCTCCATAAAATCAGAATCATCTTTATTGACCAAGTATGTAGAACACACAAGGAATTTGACTCCGGTCGTACAGACTACACTGGTATTATCAATAACAAGCACCTACGATAAACAAGGACATGACAAATAAGTATGGAAAGACTTTCTGTCATGTAAGGGGACCATTGTGCAGTAGTAGCAAACCAATGTTAGCTGTGCGACAATGTGCAGAGTCATCATGCAGAGATATAGTGATCAGTGGTGCGATATAATACTATGACGGTTGTGCAGTTGATGCAGATAATCGTTGCACCATTTTTAAGTGACATGCTGCAGGGTCTGTCTGGACCGGAAGAGCTGGATGAAGTGACTTGCGACGGGTAAAGTCTGAGCTTCTTTGCGAGGGCTACTGAGACACTGAGCCAAGATTGCCAAGTAAATGAATGGATGGATGGATTCATGAATTGGCTACCAATCCCGAGTTTGCCACACTTCCCTCCCCAAAAGTTATTTGAGGTAGGCTCCAGCTCATCTGTGACATGCATGCTGTGTATGCAAAATGGATGGATCTGCGCTGTTTTGAGTGCTGATCTGTCCAGGGTGTACTTTCCTTTCTCACCAAAAGTCATCTTAGGTGAACTAAAGATTCTAAGATTCTGTCTATAGGTGTCAATGTGAGTATGAAAGGTTCGTTGCCCGCATATGCTCTTTGACGGGCTTCTAAGGGATGGATCTGATGCAGATCGATGGAAGTCATTTTCACAGTGTGGACTGGAGCGTGATTAACTTTGTAAAGGGAGGGTTTTTGATACACCGGATCTTATTAGATTGTGCAAGTACAGCTAATGTTGTTGTCAGGGAAAGCCATCCCCTCCCTCTGTCACAAGCATCAAATCTCTTTATGCAACGCGGCAGCTGTAAAGTGGGAGGTCATTGTGTTATGCTGCTCCCATTCTATGTCTAACTCATTCAGCTGAGTGGAACAAATGACCTTTTTTCTTTTTTTTTTTTTTTTTAATCGCCCGCCATGCTTGGTGTCAGCATTTCTTCAGGAAATTTCATAGATTACTCCCAATCCGACACAACGCAAAGATTCTGCCTCTATGAAGACAAATGTGCAAAATGTTGATGCGGTCGTTTAATACTATGTTTACTATTGTGCTTGCAAAGCTGTAGAACAGGCGTGTGTAAGTAATATCCTTCGAGTGGAACCTCTACAGCAGGGCGCGTCCTGCAACTGGAGCAACCAATTGGCTCTTCGGGGAACAGCAGGTCATATTGAAAGGACGGCAAACAGAACCTCTTCGGTTCAGGGAACTTGGGGAAAAGAGAAGATTGATAAGATTAAGTAACAAACATCCATTGAGAGCTTTTGCTGGATGTTTGCCAGAGTCAATATAAAATCACTCAGTGCCGATAGAAACCAATTCTCTTGGCTTATAGGGATATATTTGATAATGTGATAATGTGATGAGGAAGATTAAAATGTCAGTGGTCATATTTGAGGGGTTAAACGACAAAATAGGGGAAGCCTGTTTAGAAAGTAGCACTGCGAACTGTAACCGTAATGATAAACTGCACACAGGGCAGATATTACTACCTTGTTTTATTTGTCATGTCTCATGCCATCAGTGCCATGTTTCATTGTCTCTTGCTTCATGCCATCATGTGTTATGGCTTCTGCCTCATGTCTTGTGTCTCATTTCTCCTGCCTCATGATTCCTTGTCCTGAATTTCATTTCTCATGTCATTGTGTGTTATCGCGTCTCCTTTTCTTATGCTTTGTGTCATGCCATCGCATCTCCTCGTCTCATGTTTCATACCAGCATGCATGATCATGCCTTCTTTCTCATTTCTGTTTCATGTCGTCCTGTCTCATGCCTTCCAGTCCCACATGTCATATCTCATGTTCCATGTCACGTGTGTTATGTTGTTCCATGTCATTGTGTTTCATGTGCCATATTTCGTCTCTCGTTTCAAGTCTCAAGTCATCATGTATTATTATCATGTGTCCTGCCATCATGTGTTTTGTTGTCTCTTGTCATCATGCTTCGTACTGTATGTCAGGTTTCGAGTCTCATGTTCCATTTAAGAGCAGTTTTTGTACTGGATCTCGCGGTATGTGGCCAGTTTCTCTTTTTCACTCCTTGTCGATTCTGCTCCTTCTCTTTGGAATTAGTGACTTGGCAAAAGCAAAAGAAAGTGAAACTTAATCCCGTTATGCTCGCTTAAAGTGATGTTCCAAGGTTTTGTGAGACATACATAGCAAAACAGGCTGAAAAATGTTATGGAAAAGCTCATTCTGTTAACTTATTAGATATAATGGTGTAGTAGATTCAATTTTTGCCGACTTGACTCCAAAATAATTGTCACGTCAACATGAATCAGTGCCAGGCTGGTGGACGCCTTTATTGTAAACAAGACAAATGTCCCTTGTGACAGATTTGATAAATAAAACCTTTTTTTGTGATTGAAAAGGCTAAATATTACTCTTATTATGATATAAATCACAATTGAGACTCAGTTGCCACATGCTGCTTTTCGTGAACTGCGTTGCAGAAGAAAAAAGACAAATGCTGGAAAGCAGTAGAGCCCCTCTGGAGTAATACTGCGGGGGATTATTGAGTGTGCGCTTTATCTCAAAGGATGTAATCTTGGCTCAGTGTCTCCATGGATTGTATGGCCTTTATAGAAAGCATCTCTATATAGTAGATTATGTAACACTGAAAAACAACTGGGGAAAACAACTGGGGATGTACAGTACATGGCAAATTGATCTACACTGGATGAGTGGCAGCAGAATTTTAATATTTAAAAGCCTATATTGTTAGGATTATGTTGGGGATTTTAGTGCTTTACATTAACAACGGGAGAATTTGGTCGTTAACAAAGATGGAAATCATTTTTCCTTATATAGCTTTTCTCCTGGCACTCCTTACTCATGATAATCACTATGGAAGTAGAGAGCCAATGTATCTGTGTACCAGTATATACTGCACATCATGTGTGCTACTACATACATAATTTGTCTTGGTAACCCAATTACTGACTAACTTACAAACCGTCTAACTAAACACACTAACAACTAAATGACTGACCAACTAAAAAAACTGATAAAGCATCTGAAACTGACGGACTGACCGATCAACTGAACTACTGAAAACTGATGAATGGACTAATTTTGTAAACTACTGAATGACTGAGTAACTAACTAAATAATGGAAAATGGTTGACTGACTGACTGACTAACCTACTAACCAAACAACTCACCAACCAACCAACCGACTGACTGACTGGATAGGTAACTAACTCATCTGGCTTGGTAACCTAATTACTGACTAATTTACAAACTGACTAACACACGAACAACTAAATGACTGACCAACTAACAAACAGATAAAACCTCTACGACCAATCGCCTGACCGACCAGGCTAAGCTTTCCTCCAGCCGAAAGCATGCATATTAAACCGCTTTAAGATGAAAAAAAACAGACAAATCGAAAAAAATATCTATCATATTTTTTTGTTTGTTTGTTTGAATTGTTTTTATATATTTGGTATCCAAAAGTAATCAAAAGTATCCAAGTTACATTACTTTAATAATATAATACTTGGATTACAGGACTAACTACATTTTTTAACAGGTACCTAGTAACTAAGTCATCTGAATACATTTTTAAAGTAACCCAACCATGTAGCAAACTAAACAAACCATCACTTACTGTAGCGTCACTACTTAGTTCTTGGTGATTAAAAGAATCTGGAGTGACCAAAATATGGGGAAACAAAATGTACTGGTTGAAACAGAATGGATGAACAGATACAGTATCTATTTTCAGTTTTTCATATGAGTGCTATAGTGGGCTTTTGACTGACAAAGAACTCCATTTTGGTTGCTTCCTACAGCTCAGCTATGCCGTTTGTTTGCCTGAATGCGTTTCTCCTCCTTGCGACAATATTTGACCTACTCGCTTGACTTGGCTCAGCAAGACCTTGAATGCTGCCTTTAATGGCTTCACCTCCATGCCTCTTGCTTTGTGTGGACCCACAATTTGCAGCAATGAAGGAAAAAAGACACACAAGCACAGCGTGATAATACATATGTGTGTAGATGTCAGGGGATACATCCTCCATAAAGCATGTCAGTGGCAATATATACTGGCAGCTTTTATAGAAACATCTTTTATTGATGATGGCTGATGATGGGGGCGGGTGACCTTTGCTTCGTGAAATGTAACAAAAATGGTGTGTCACTCTTTTACAGGGGAGGTGCTTTGTGTTTGACCAGGTGTTCCCTACAAATGCCACCCAGGAGCAGGTCTACAACACTTGTGCCAAGCATATTGTGAAAGGTGAGTTCCCAGAACTAAAATGCTGATTTTTTCTACTCTGGAACGGCTTATCGCAAGGACCTGGTTTTGGAAAAAATCTGAGTGGTTTTAGGAGCGATGCAGCCGACTGACATGGATCAATACACAATGACAAAAGTGGGCACATCAGTCATCCTTCTGTTATTATTTTAGGCAGGCCCAGTCAGTCACCATCGGCGACAGTCAGTTAGTGTTGAGAACATACTATGTCAAACACACGCCCCCACCTCCCACTCAAAAAAAACAAAAACAAAAAAACAACACACTGTGTGTGTACACAGGATGGTGATTGGTGAAATACAAAAAATACGGGACAATGTCATTGCTGTCTGTGGGACCGAAAGGTATACAACAGCACTGGTGCCCAACCTTTTTTGGCCGAAGACTTTTCAAGCGAACCAACCTTTGCGGTAGACCGTTACTGCATGTGCACACATACACACACGCATGCGCGCGCATTCATGCAAACATGCGCATATGCATGCACACACGCATGCCATGATGAGCAACAGCCATAACGGCTTCTAACATGAATGCAACAGAAAAATAAATGAGATACGAGAGTGTGTGAGTTTTTGTAAAGGTAATCACTGCCTACCTTAGTGAAAGCCCTGACATGGAGGCACGAGACAAACTTTTGCAGCGTGTAAAATGCATAAACATCACTATTGTGGCTCACATTCACTGTTTTAAAAGGCTACTCCTGGCGCTCCATATTCCCATTCTTTGCCAGTGCCATCAGTGAATTGCAGATGAAACAAACTGAATGAGAATAATAATAGTAATCCAAAAAAAAGATATTTCGCAACCGCTCTGATCACAAGCTGCAACTGCAGACTGCTGACTGCTAACAACTTCCGGTGATGGAGGCCACACCCCTTTTTATTTTATTTTTTTTAAATAAATACTTTTTTGTGAAAGTGAAACTGATAGGATGACACACATTTTTTTTTTTTCCATTTCCCCCTATACCCCTCGTGATCGACTTGGGACCAGTCCGTGGGCTACCACTCGATTGCGATCGACTGGTTGGGCACCAATGGTATACAACATTGTTTTGTTTTGTTTTTTAAAACTTGAGTCTGATTGTGCTGCACCTGTGTGTGACAAGTACATTCTCAACGCCAATTGGTTGTCGCCGAAGTTGACTGACTGGCCCGGCCTATATAATGATGGAAGGATGAGTGACGGACTGACATGCCCGCCTCTTAATCCAAATTACTTTTTGCTGTATTCTCGATGGGCTGTATAAAACCCACCATGCATGAAAAGTGAGCGGTGATGTTTTGTTTCCAACTCGTCACTCAGTTGGTTTGTTAGTTAGCATCGGTAGGCATTTTACAAAATGTTGCCGGTCTGTCATTCGTCATTCATCAGTGGTCTGTGTATCCGTCCGTCCTCCTCAGTGTGTCATTTTATAGCTCTTTGGTGCATACCGCCACCTACTGTACAGGAAGTGCAAAGCGTTTTCATAAATACTCAGGGGAAGATCCACCTAATCAGATGTGAAGTTTAACATTGTAGCTCCTCCCTCAATTGATGATATGGAGTTGAAAGATCTCTGCAGAGTAGCCATTCGTTTTCCTCGATTTCATGATTGCCTCCAGGACTGCAGTGGACCAGTATAGTTTTGTCATGTTGTTAAATTTTTCAATTAAACAAGGAATGTTAACAACATTATGGCTGCTCTGCCTTAGCAGTGTTCTTAGCAGAGTCCATTCACTGGCTATCGCAATAAGCTGCTTCTTCCAACTAGATGTGAGAAAAACAATTTCAGTGACATGCACGTTTCCAAAAGCACACGGCGTGGCTCACAGTCAGCTATTATCCGTGACAGTCTTTCGTCTGCCACCTCCCCTCAACAACCTGCATCTATTATTTTCCAACTTCAGGCTCACATTTTTGTGCCACGTTTGCATCAAGTGGGACGCTTGAACAGACAGCGTGTGGAAGGGCCTGAATTCTCAAATTACATTAATTCTACGGCGTTTCGGGGCAGATGTAAAGAAGAGGGAAACACGACTTGAGCATAAAATCAGAAAACCTGAGAGAAAGGATTTAGCGCACTGTAGCACCTGAGAAGTGGCAGCCGAGTGAGATCTTTGCATTTCTTTCGTATTAGGGTCTTGTTTATATAATTTCCACTTCAGTGAGTGAGTGAGTCAGTTTTATATTTTATATATATGTATACAGCATACACACAAACACACACACACACACACACACACACACACACACACACACACACACACACACACACACACCATTTTCCACATTTTTCAAACATGATTTTATTGTAACAAGTTGTAAAGAGCATACCGAGCTAAGTAATGCAATGTACGAGCTCGTAATTGCAAGTGACATCACAACCACGGGAGCGATTTTTGCCGGCTAAAACAGCATATTGCAGTAAGCCTGGTTTGTTAAAAAGTGGTCAGTAGGAACAGCAACTGTGCCAGACTTTCAGCATCAAGGTGCAGTAATTTACGTTTAATAAACTGCCTTTGTAAAGTAATCTGGCAGCTCTCCCCAACCCTTCTAGCAGCTAGCACGGCCGCCGCTGAACAATGGCATCAGGCGCCGTAGAATGCCGTGTCAGCGTAATGAAGTCCTAGTCTAGCGCCCTTAATCAGCGATTGACCGTTATTTCAGGACGCAGTTGTGTTGTTAAAAGTCAGTAGTAATTAGCAACAGTTTGTGATGGCAATGGCTCAGGGTCTGGAAAAGGAGTCATGTCAGCCGTTGTGAAAGGCTACCGGGAACAACGATTGATGTCTGTGTATCATTTGGTTGGGTATGGTTGATTTTGAAGTTGGTCTTATTATCGTGTTGGCAGCGTGACACAATTTTGCGTCATATTAACATAATACTTCGCCTGATTTATGATCATTTTTGGGGGACATTTCAGCTTTTTTTTTTTTTTGGGCTCACCAGTTCTCTACTTTCTCCCACTTCTCCCAGATGTACTGGGCGGATACAACGGAACCATCTTCGCCTACGGCCAGACGGCCTCGGGAAAGACTCACACTATGGAGGTACAATCGCAACTCATCAATAATTTCAAAGTGACATCCCTCAGGGCGGCAAATAGAAGCAGACTTTTTAAATGGCTAAAACGAACTGTAAATCCGCTTTTCATCACGTCCCCAGCACTCGGCGCAGACCACTTTTTCCAGTTCCTATGAGAAACAACTCAAAGAC